GAGAGAGAGAGAGAGAGAGAGAGAGAGAGAGAGAGAGAGAGAGAGTTATATGTCAACTTTAGATTTCTGTTCAGTGGAAAAAATAACTCCCACAGATTATAGCTTTCTTGCTCTGTAGAATATTAACAAGTTTAATCTAGCCCAGCTCATATTTCAAAATGCCTTTCCTGTTGTGATGTAGATACTGCCTCTCAAAATGCTCTCCAAATTAGCTGTACTAGCTTATGATTCCCCCATGAATTAAGAACTTTGACCCATATTTCTTCATTATTTGTATGGAATTATACTTTGGCACAGCACATTAATACAGTGGCCCTGGCAACAGCATACAGAACTACAACTATACGCTGCTACAAGAGGCATTCCTACAGTTGGCAGAAGCAGTAATGTGCCACTTTGTGATTTAACATCACCATCCTAGAGGCTTTTAGGCCAGCAGTTCTCAGCTGGGTGGTTATCTGGCCACCCAGAGTATACTTGGCAGTGTTTAGAGAGGTCTTTGTCATAGCTGGAAGTATTAGTGGTGTCAGTGGTGCAGTGGAGGAGGCCATGGGTCTAAATGTCAGTGCACAGAAAGTCCCCAAAACTGTTGTGAGGTGGTTCACCAGAGAAGACCACTCAGACAAAGTTTTGCTGAATGAAAGTTGTTGCTGGCCAGGGCTACTACACAAGGGTGTCAGGAACCCAAGTGTGTAACCCTGAGCCATCTCTAGGGTAAGCTTTTATACAGAGAAACCATAACCAGGAGTGAAAAGTTTAAGTTCCCAAGCTTACAGCTGTAGAGCCCCCTTAACAATTTCTGTTCTATTAAGCAACAATTACTATTTGCAGAAGCAAGCCAAGCATAACATACAGAAGCCATAAATCTGCAGTCAGCAGGTATTCTCCAGGACACTCTGACCTATTTCCCAAGACAACCAGGGTCCAGCTGACATGTGTTTCCATACCCTTGGCCAACTGCCTGATAATTTCAGGGACTATAGAGTCAGACTAAACTTTAACATGACATAGATGTGGTCAAGAAAGTGCCCTATTACAAAACAAGAATGGGGTGGGGCATCGAAATGTCAGTAGAGGGCTGGAGAGATGGCTCAGCAGTTAAGAGCACTGTCTGCTCTTGCAGAGGACCTGGGTTCGATTCCCAGCTGTAACTCTGGTTCCAGGGGATCTGACACCCTCTTCTGACTCTGTGGGCATCACATGACACAGGTGCACTTACACACGTGCAGGCAATACACTATCATACACATAAAATATTTTAAAAACTCAATAGAGTTACTGTTAAAAAAAAACTACATTTTAGACTAGACATGGAAAACCATTAATACAAATGTTGTGCAAGATTAAACTAGGGACTGAGGATATAGCTCAGTTGGTAGAATGCTTGCCTAAAATGCACAAGGCCTTGGGTTTGATCCCTAGCAGTACATGAGCTGGGTGTCGTGATATACACCTATAATCCCAAGCCCTTAGGATGTGGAGGTAGGAGGATCAGGAGTTCAAGGGCAGCTTCAGTTACTTATCCAGTTTGAAGCCAACTGGGGCTATATGAGACCCTGTCTCAAAAATAAGCTGGGGACTAGAGAGATGGCTCAGTGGTTAATAGCACTGGCTGCTCTTGTGGAGGACCTGCATTTGATTCCCAGCACTCACATGGCTAACAACAGTAACTCCAGTTCCAGGTGATTCAACATCCTCTTGTGGTCTCTGTGGGCATTGCATGCATGTGGTGTACTTAATATACATGCAAGCAAAACATTTATACACACACACACACGCACACACACACACACACACACACACACACATTTTAAGTTGCAGAATGTTAGGTAACCAGTTAAGGATGCTAAAAGGCAGCTGAAGGATTGATATTCAATTGAATTGGATACTGGCCTGAGATATACAGAAAGACTCTGTCTAGAACAGCAACAATAACGAAAAGAAAAATGTTGGAAAATAATTATTATATATGTAGTTCAATTGTAACCAGTTAGAAAATAATGCAAATGATTGCGAAGTGTGTAGTGTCTCACTTCCCAGAGTTCAGGCCATTGTGAAAAGGAGCTGAATCTGCCTCTTCCTTTCTCCCTACCTCCTCTTGTTAACAGGGAAATTGGGGTACCTCTTTTGGTTTTTAGTCTCATTGGTGAAATAATTTGGTAACAGACTCAGAACAAAGGTTAAGGACAATTCTTTTAGAATTAGAAGAAAAGAAA